CTTACCCTGTGTCTATGTTCAGAAATAATGTATTTTCTTGAGTGAAAAAATGGATGAAATTCAGGGTAAAAATTCTAACCATTAACTCATATTTTAAAAAATATGATGGAGATTCTTAGGACCATTGCCTTAATCATCTTTTTATATAGATGTATGGTTTTGTCCATGCCATGTTTCCTAACTTTTCTCTTTTTTGTCTCTTGTTGTTTAATCCTTAAGTTCTCACTTTCCATTTATTGTTTTATACCTGTCAGATTTTATTTCTTCTTTTGACTTCTTACACTAGGAAGACAATATGATATTTACACAAGTGGGTCTGGTTTATTTCACTTATGAGTATGTCTTCAAGTTTCATCCACTTATATATGAAAAGTTTGTACTAATATTGTTTAGACAAAATATTATGTATGCAAATTGTCCTCTGAAAAACTGCTGTGAGGCCAAAAATACATAATTTATTAATTTATTAGAACCATCCTACTCACCTAGATTGAAATGGTTTCCTTACTATTTTACCTTTTTCTCATTAAAATGAATAAAAAATAAAAAATTGAAAAGTAAACGAGACTAATGAAGTTGACAATGGAACAAAAAGGATAAAAATGTTGTTTTAATTGTATAAAAAGAACACACTGTTAGGTCTTCTTGTGCTTTTCTATGACTAGCTCTCCATAACTCTGGCAAATCTCCAATCCTCCTTCTAGTCTTGTGTCAGAAATTAACCTCTTTGAATAACTTGTCCAAGCTCAAGCTCTTGGTTGTGTGAGATGCAGCCAACAGCAAACACCACCATTTTATCAAACATCAAAGCTGACCTTTGACTAAGTGACCAGTCTAAACTCCGCTTCTGCTTGTATAGAAACTGAAAATATAGAACCCCTTTAAATTTCTTTGATCATTTCTCTGTAGCTTTATGTTTTACTTGCTTGTCTGTTGACCTCATGTTGTTGCTCTCCTAGCTGACTTATGTCCCTGTCACTGATGTTATGAGTGGAGTGGAATTAATGGACTAACACTGGAATTTATAGGAGCTCAGAGGCCTCCAATTTCCATTCAGGCATGTGAAGATAGAGAAGGTGGATCCCATCCCTCCACTAAGAAGAACTGACAGAGCATCATGGGAAAATATTTTATCTTTATGGTAATAACAGGTATAAATAAATTATTTTCCCAAGATTTTGTGCTTATTACCTTTCCCTCAGAATTCTGATGTTTTATTCACTATCTTGTTGGCATTTTAGGACCTGATTGGAAATGAGAATCTATTGATCATTGAGAAAAATGTTCCTAAAATTGCCTTATGTTTCAAGTATATTACATTTTTCTCTTTAATAGTTCTTTTTATTCAACATTGTCTTCCAGTGAAAGACAAGACATAAAATATAACCAAATCTTTATACATAATATTTGAATCATGTCCACAAAAGGTAACCCACAATGCTTATAACCTGTGGTCTGAAAACAAAAAAAACAGTATGTAAGGCAGAGATAAAATTTAAAATATGAACATAATACCAGGGAATAAAATTACTATCCTAGAAATAAGAGTCTGCATCTGCCCTGAACTCTACAAAGTTTCGCAAAACATATATTTGAGAAAGGAGAATTTTTTAATCAAATACTGCTGAGAAAAGTGGATGCATGCAAATATTAAAATTAATCTCTACTTTTTCACTGCATGAAAAATTAATTACAGAGGAACAGATATTTTCTTGTTTTTCTCAGAACCAGGGATTGCACTCCTTGTGCATGCCAGGGAAGCGCTTATTCTACTGAGCTGTATCCCTGGACCCACAGTGGAACAAATTAAGACATGAAGTTATGTAATTACTAGATGATGAGCTAGAGGAAAATATTTGAAGATATATGTATAGGAAAAAAGATTATTTGGGAGGAACAAAAAATATTAAG